TAATGTAACATAAATACTAAACCATTCAAAAAGGAATCAGAGGAGCAGAAATACTCACCCTAACTTTAATATGAAGATGAACTGAACTATATGAACGACTTTCAGGATGTCATACGATTCAAAAATACCTAAAGCCTTCAGGATCTTTGAGAGGATCAGCAGAACAATGTATCTGGTTAACCTGCAGGAAAACAGTATAAATTAAACTGTTAGATAAATGAACTGTTTCAGAACACATTATAAGGGTTGAATAGATAAAAATAGGGAAAATCCTTTATTTTCATCAGAAATGTAAGCAAACTTCAGAATTTCAATCAAATTAACCTGGCGTCAAGGAAAATAACCAACTTTAATAATCCTAACAGCCAAAAATGGGTCAGGAAATAAAAGCTGTATTGAAATGAACTGAATTAATAAACAGATGTTACCTTGAATCAGGAACTTCCACCATTCCCAGTTTCCCTCCAGACAAAACGTTGCTGCTGTATTTATCCTCCATGTTGACCGGCAGCATATATTTATGTTCCCAGGATCCTCACCATCACTTCAGTGGAGAAATAAAACCTCAATGGCGGAACTACTGGAGTAAACAACCAGGCCTCCTCTGGTTCGGGTCCATTCTGCCGGTTCTGCCGCCGTCACGTCCTCTCTGGCCGCCGAATGTCAGAGAAACGCATCTGAACGTTTCGTTAGAGACTAAAAATAAACCCGCTCTCTTTCAAAATAACGATAATAAACGATAAAAGACAGAAAAGCAGAGTGAGAACGAGCCGAACCGTCCATAAAGCCCCGACGCTTCCGCATACGACACACAGTTTACGTCACGTCACAGACCTCGTGACTGTTGACGCTGCGTGGTGACGAAACCACAAACCGGCCGGTGCACTTCTACTATTAGTCCACTAGATGGAGACATGAAGCAACATTTACATAAAGTGACACTGATTCAAGCTGAACAGGAAGTACTTTAGTTAGTTAATTTTTAATCTATATAAGTGGATTATCTGATGCAAACCGTCCCGTAAAATCCTCCTGACTACCAGTAGTTCAAATTTGTCCTCATAGAGGTCATTTGTAAACTTGAATATTTCCCACCCACTGCATACTGCTGAAGTAAGTCCTTTAGCTATATACAGAGGACATTTAGGGCTTTTCAGGGATATCAAATGTTTTGAACCTTCCTTTTCCTCATTCAGAAAAATGGCGTCCATCTGTACAAGCAGATTTTATGGGAAGAGAAAAATTAAGTGCTTAATACTTTTTATTGTGCAATTTTTGGTTTGAAATTTTATTGGCATATTCTAAATAAGTCTCTTAGCAGCATATTAAAACATCCTATGAAGTATTTGGACTGTATTTTATTGTAGTATTTGAAAGTTGAAAAATTGTCCTCTGTAGAGGACATTTGTACTTATTTCATCTGTTTTGTTCTGTTTTTTTTCTGTTGATAGTTCTAGATAAAAAGAAAGAGAGTCGTTCTCAGATGCAGAGAGAATTGTACTGCTGATTATTGATGGAGGGCTGCACAGTGAGAAGGTCCTAGGTTAAATTCCTGGCCTGGGGTCTTTCTGCATGGAGTTTGCATGTTCTCCCTGTGCATGCGTGGCTTCTAAAAACATCCCAGAGCTACATAATGTAGAACCATCAGCAAATAAAGTAAATGTGAACCAGTTAGATTCATTGTAAATATCATTTATATAAAGTAAAAACATTTAGGACCCAGTACTCTAGATCAGTGGTTCTCAAATGGGGGTACGCGTACCCCTCGGGGTACGTGGAGGTACTGCAGGGGGTACGGGAAGCTTTTCAAAATATCTTTAAAAAATCAGTCGCCTCCTCATAATAAGTCTTGGAAAAAATTATTTTGTAAAAAGTTCGATAAAATATAAATGTGTGTTCATGCACTGAATTTTATATTCAGTATTTAGTTTCAATATCCTTTAAAATAAAACGGACCAGCGCACTGTTACCATGACTACACTGTAACTATGGAGACGTGGCTAAAGCGTAGCAGCAATGCTGCTGAAAGTTCAGATAAAGTGAAAAAGAAGGCAAAACCAGAGCCAACGAAGTACAGAACATACATGGAAAAGTATGTTTTAATGGGATTTACGTCCACGATCTCTGACCCCCCAGGCACTGTGGGTTTTTTGCTGGGAGAATTAGCCAACGCTAGCATGCAGCCGGCTAGCATGCAGCCGGCTAGCATGCAGCCGGCTAGCATGCAGCCGGCTAGCATGCAGCCGGCTAGCATGCAGCCGGCTAGCATGCAGCCGGCTAGCATGCAGCCGGCTAGCATGCAGCCGGCTAGCATGCAGCCGGCTAGCATGCAGCCGGCTAGCATGCAGCCGGCTAGCATGCAGCCGGCTAGCATGCAGCCGGCTAGCATGCAGCCGGCTAGCATGCGGTCTTTCCTGCTGTTAAAGTCCAGAACTGCGCGCCTGCAGGAAACTATCGGAGCGCAGCAGCGCCTGCAGCTGCACTCTGCATACCTTCACATTTTCCTTTAAGTAAAGAAAGAAAAGAATAACTTCTGGAGTTTTTATTATTTAACCCTATTTACTATTAACAAAATTGTGAAGAAAAATTAAATAAATTGCGCCAAAACATCTTATTCGTAGCGCACATCTGGGAATCAACACAACCTCTTTCCCTGAACCACCTGGAGAGGCTTCGCTTCCATGTCTTTATTATTTAGCATCGTCTGGAAAAAAGTCCGCTGCTCTTGGTTCAGGTTTGTGGTGATTTTTGCGCATTGGAGAGGTGCTTGTGCTCTTGCAGGTCAGGTGCAGTGATAGTTTTGTGTCGGACCTTTATTTTTTCCACATCTGCTGGTGTCAGCCAGCAGGTGACACGTCAGCTGTTCGGTTCACGAAACCACAAAAAAAGCGAATAAACCGGCGACCCGCCAGAACCGCGCAGACGGTCAGAAGCTCAGGCTGAACGTAGAACAACAGGAGGTTCATACCCAACTCGTTCATTTTTAACTTACAGAAAAACACAAAGCCGTTAAATTAATAAAAGCAAGCTGACCAATAAGACTGAGCCTTTGGGGTTCCCCACCTCACGCATCAGACTGACAGCTGTGTGTGTATAATATGTTTTGACACAAAAGATATTTTATTTTCCACAATTTTGCTAATAGAACAGATGGTTAGATAATAAAAATAACTCTCTTCTTTCTTTTTTATTTAAAGGAAAATTTCAAGGTACTCAGTGCTGTACAGCTGCAGGTGTTACTGCAACAATCCATCAGTTTGCTTTTGTTTATTTCAGTCACTTGTTTCCAGTTTAGAATCACAGAGAAAAACTCCAAAAGGGAATCAAACTTAAAACTCTGCAAGCTAAAAACTTCTGATCACATAATAGCAATTAACCATAGAATTATTACTGATAACTATTGTGAGTGGTCCTGACATTATTATGATATAAAAAATTTCCTTCTCACCCACCGCGGGTGGTTCTTATCCTCTGAGCTCGGGTCCTCTACCAGAGGCCTGGGAGCTTGAGGGTCCTGCAGTATCTTGGCTGTGCCAAGGACTGCACATTTCTGGACTGAGATGTCTGATGTTGTTCCTGGGATCTGTTGTAGCCACTGCTCCAGTTTGGGGGTTACTGCCCCGAGGGCCCCGATGACCACAGGCACCACTGTGGTCTTCACCTTCCAGGCCCTCTCCAGTTCCTCCCTGAGGCCCTGGTATTTCTCCAGTTTCTCATTTTTCCTGATGTTGCAATCACTTGGTATTGCTACATCTACCACAACGGCTTTCCTCTGATGTTTATCCACTACGACAATGTCTGGTTGGTTCGCCATTACCATTTTGTCTGTCTGGATCTGGAAGTCCCACAGGATCTTAGCTCTGGCGTTCTCCACCACCTTTGGGGGTGTTTCCCACTTTGATCTCGGGGTTTCCAGTCCATATTCTGCACAGATGTTTCTGTACACTATGCCTGCCACTTGGTTATGTCGCTCCATGTACGCTTTCCCTGCCAGTATCTTGCACCCTGCTGTGATGTGCTGGACTGTCTCAGGGGCCTCCTTGCACAACCTACACCTTGGGTCTTGTCTGGTGTGGTAGATCTGGGCCTCTATTGCTCTGGTGTTTAGGGCCTGTTCCTGGGCGGCCAGGATGAGGGCCTCTGTGCTGTCCTTGAGTCCAGCTTTTTCCAGCCATTGGTAGGATTTACTGATATCAGCCACTTGGGTTATTTGCTGGTGGTACATCCCATGTAGGGGCTTGTCCTCCCATGATGGTGTCTCTGGCACCTCAACCTCCGTTCCCTGTTGTCTGAGACATTCACTGAGCACATTGTCTGTTGAGGCTTTGTCCTTGATGTATTTATGGATCTTAGTTGTTTCGTCCTGGACAGTGGTTCTCACACTCACTAGTCCTCTGCCTCCTTCCTTGCGGCTCGTGTACAGTCTCAGGGTGCTGGATTTTGGATGGAACCCTCCATGCATGGTTAGTAGCTTTCTAGTCTTAATATCTGTGGCTTTTATCTCCTCCTTTGGCCAGCTGATTATTCCAGCAGGGTATCTGATTACTGGCAGGGCATAGCTGTTTATTATTATTTATTAACCTCCAGTAAATCTGAATTTTATCTCCTCAGGTTTTGGTTAAATTTCCATGAAACTGTCTGACTTTGTCAAATATCAGGGTTTCCTCCACAAGGTTCTCATGAGAGTTTGTTGGAGTTCTGGTCCATTCCTCCTGACAGAACCAGGAGAACTGGGTCAGGTTTGACGGCTGTATTTGTATAAATATTTTATGACCAATGTGATAATAACATGACAGAGAAGCAGAATATTTTCCTCTCTTCCTTCTCCAACATGGTGGATCCATTAAACTGAACCATGTCTGCTGTTGAAAAAGAATGCTGCTTTCTTTTTCTTTTTTTTTTAACAAAATAATATTTTAAATGTAGATGTGTTTATTGTTCACTAAAAACATGAAGTACAACTGCAGTAAAAATACAAAAAATAACATTTGAATCCAAGATGAATTTAAGAATATAGGAGATAACTGAAACAAAAATATTCAGTAATTGAGAAAAACTGCAGTAAATTCAAAGAATCTGATGATAAAAGAAAGAAAAAAAATCAAGAGAGAAACAAAACATCTGGAGATTCATTGTGAATCTTTGACTGGAAACAGAAAAAAAACATGTTAATCCAGTTATAATCTTGGAATAATCCTGGAATAATCCTGGAATAATCCCAGGATTTTGTAGAAAAGTTTAACCAAGAAACAGTTTGAATCCATAAAAATATGTTTCTGAATAAAACAGACATATAGAGACTGAACTATCTTTTAATCAGTGAGATTTTCTAGCAGGATGAAAAACTTTAGACTCTTTAGACTCAAATCAGCTCAGAAACACTGAAGAACCAGAACTGGACCACAAGAACCCAAATCCAGGAATCAGAGGTTCAGTGAATGTGGTGTTGAAGGTGTGGAGGAGGATCAGTGAGTCAGAGGAGACTCTGTAGAAGAACAGAATGCCAGCAGGACAGTCCACATACACTGCTACTCTTTTAGAGTCAGAGGAGGAGGAGAGACGAGTTTTTATGTTATTGTGCCAGACAGAGTAACCATGACGATCAGAGCAGATCAGCCTCCAGGAATGATCATTACATCCAAACAAACAGTCTCTACTGTCTCCTTTCCTCCTGATTCTTCTGTAACTCACTGATATATAAACTGTTCCTCTCCACTCGACCTCCAGTAACATCGACCAGTCAGACCAGTTCTACACAGCAGCTGAGCCCAGTAATCAAATCTGTCTGGATGATCAGGATATGACTGAAGCTCCTTCACACATGTCACCTTCCTGTTGTCTTCAGACAGTTTGAGTTTTCTGTTCACTGTGTTTGTGTCGATGGTGAGTTGACAGGAATCTGATGGAGAGAACAAACACAATCCAGCTGCAGTTATTGATCATTTTTGACACTTTGACTCCTGAATGAGTGATGTGACAGTTTGAAGATGGTTGAATGTGAGCTGCTTTGTTGTCATGAATCAGATGAAAAACACACTTACATTTCCTCAGACCTGGAGTCAAGAATCGGCCTCCAGCAGGCTCCACCCTGAAAGGAGGAGGGGGGTCAGACCATCAGTCTCTTTCAGCACTTCCTCTACCAACCAGCACCACCAGGTGGCGCTGCACACATTTACAATGAGCCCAAGAAGAAGCAGCAGCATCCTGAACCCAGCAGCTGCAGTAATGGCTTGTGAAAGTAATCCTCCCTCCACTGCAGAAGTTCTGGATGAGCTGATCTTGTCTTTTATCTTTCCTAGTAAATTTATCAGAACTTTCGATCTGAACCAGTTTCTGCTCTCATTTTTACTTTTTCTACTTTTTTCCCATCATTCACTTCAATTCTTCCTTCCTTCTGGAAAACAAGGGATTTAATTTATTTCCTGATTTCATTCATACTTTTTGATCATTTTCCAGATGTCGCCCCCTGGTGGAGAAAACTGCCACATAGATGGATCTACTAAACTTCTAAATCTCTTTTCCTGATGAATAGTTTTTCTTCACTTTTTTATGTGTTTTATATTTTAAAACACATAAATTCATTAAAGTTGAGAGGTTTGCTTTAATCTGAATTTATTTATTTCACTCTGAGATCTTTAAACATCCATCTGATCACCATGGAGCTGCTTTTCTTTCCTCTTTGCTTCTGGGGCTGATTGGTCTGAAGCTCCATCCAACATGGTTTTAATGTTTCTATCCTCAGTAAAACATCATAGGAATCTAACAGCTGAACTCCTTAGACCCCTGAATGAGTGATGTGACAGTTTGAAGAAGTTGAATCAGAATAAATTCATTATTATTTCCAGTTCCTATTTAGCTCCAGGCTCTCCTCACGTTCTTAGTCAGAAGAATTTTCCACAATCAGCTGAAATCTTCCTAAACACGAGTGTTAAATCAAGAACTGATCCGTTTCCTTCATCAACATCTTTTGTCTCTTTTCCATCATTCAAACATCATCAGTTCATATCTCTAAATGTTCTTCTGCTCTTTCAGTTACTTTCAGTTTTCTGTTTCCATCCCATTATATTCCATATGCATTAAAGTTACTACATGTTATTGATAATTATATCTTTCTTGATCAGTTCCTCTATTTATGTTTCTTGTTTCTTTCTTCCTGTCACTGAAACATTTAAACTGATTCTAAAATCTATATATTGCTCTCAGCCATGTCTCTTTATTACTAATTATTAGCGACTGTCAAACAAAATCTCTGATCAAAACTTAAATCCAATCTGCAGTTAAGATGATTTTATTTTCCTCAATATTATCAAAGATCCAGAACATCAGTGGATAACAGATATTTGTGTCCAAAAGCATTAAAACCAGATTAACAGCTTTAAACAAAGATCAGAGATAAAAACATAAAAGCTTAAAGTGATCAGTAAAAACTAAACCTCCTCCATCATCACTGACTAAAGTCACCAGGTGAGCAACAGCTGATCTATAATCACTAATAACACCATGTGATCCAGCACTACATCTATACAAAACACCGATAATATCTGATCTATGATGTTATTAATCTTCATATTTTAACTCCCTGTCCATCAGCCAATCAGCTTCTTGTATTCCTCAGTAGATCATCAGTGGAAGCCCCGCCCAGCCCATGATGCTCCTGTTTGTGAAGACAGAGAGACAAACTGAACTCTGATAGGAAACAGTTTCAACTGATTTTCTCTCTCCAACCTCTTGGTTCCACATGGAGCTATATTGGCCCCCTGCTGCTCTGAATACCATGTTATTGTGGTTCAGTAGATGGGTTGGTTTCCCAGCTTCATTCAGAACCATGTGAAAGATTCTTCTAGTTTCTAATTGGATGTAGTTTGCAAACTTACACAGCCAAAATTACCAGCAATATTTATAATTTAACTGTAATAAATACAAGCCAGATACTGAATTGCCATAATAAATTTTAATCTCCAAACTAAATGTTTCCCAGCAGACCGACTAAAGACATTTCTCCCTCTTCCTCCTCTATCAGACCTTCTCTGCTCCTGCAGCAGGTTCCTCCATACCTGAGAGCTTCCAGTCTCCAGTGTGGATCCTTCAGTCCAGCCGACAGCAGCTTCACTCCTGAGTCTCCTGGATGATTGCAGGTCAGGTCCAACTCTTTCAGATGGGAGGGGTTTGGAGGTCAGAGCTGAGGCCAGAGAAGCACAGCCTTCCTCTGAGAGCAAACAGCCTGATAAGCTGCAGACACACAATTCATCACATGATGAGAAAATAGAACATTGAGGTAGAAACCAAAGACTGATATTTTTATGGGAGACAAGCACGCAAGAATAAAATTAATTATCATGTTAATATAAAATGTTCATAAAAAAAACACTAAGAAACTGGATATTCATCTGTTAATAACATAAAATAGAAATAAAATTGTATTTTATTCTGTAGGTAATAAAAATCAAAATTTTTCATTTGTAAAATGGATGATAAAGTTTAACAACTGGTTGGAGGAAGAATCTACAATAATGCTTCTTTGTACTCTGATGATGCAACAATCTGTCAAGTGTCCAGCGTTACACTAACAGTTAAAGCCTGATCTCCATCTTTCTACATTTCTCTTCTTGGTTCTTTCAGCCTGGAATAAATGAAAACCAGCTGAGTTTATGTGTCAAGACTTAGCATGATTAGCCTCGTCACAGTCACATCTACTGATGTTATAATCTGATACTGAAATAAAATTTACATAATATATTATAGCAGGTAATGGACAGAAATCTGGTTTTCACCAGGATGTAGAACATTTTACCTGAGAGTTTCCAGGTTGCAGTTTGGACTCTTCAGTCCAGCAGAGAGAAGCTTCACTCCTGAATCCTGCAGGTTGTTGTTACTCAGGTCCAGTTCTCTGAGACTGGAGGACTGGGAGCTGAGAACTGAGGACAGAGCTTCACAGCTTCTCTCTGAGAGGTTACAGCCACTCAGTCTGAGGAGACAGGGAGGAAATATGTTATTAAAAAATTCCTCATAATTTTATTTTTTTTCCTATCAAAAATATTTTTGGAAAACTTTATTTTACTAGGGATGCTTAAAACAATATTTTAGTAATCGATATCTATCAATTATTCTTACAATTAATTTTGTAAAAAACAATGATAAAATAAAATCTTGGAAAATCTGGCATAACACCGGTGTTTATATTGCATTAAAATATCAGTCCAGTTTATTGATCATCTCTAACAGTTACTTTTTCGTTAGTTTAGAAAATTAACTTGTAACAGAAATAGCTCACTTTTCCAAGTTAACCTGAAGTAAGACAAAAATCTGAAATACTATTCAATTTAGACACTTTGAAGAGATAATACACCTATAAAATAATCTGAAACATAAATACATGTTTACCTCATCAATAGCAGATTTTTATGCAAATAACTGCATTAACAATCTGTGTCCTTACAGAGTTTTTGTTGGAGGCTTTAACCACTGGCAGCAGCCTCAGAAGAACCTCCTCTGAAGCAGAGTATTTCTTCAGGTCAAACACATCCAGATCTATTCCTGATGACACTAAGATGAAACCCAGAGCTGACCACTGAGCAGGAGACAGTTTATCTGTGGAGAGACTTCCTAAACTCAGAGACTGTTGGATCTCCTTCACTAGAGAACGATCATTCAGTTCATTCAGACAGTGGAACAGATTGATGCTTTTCTCTGCAGACACATTCTCACTGATCTTCTTCTTGATGTACTGAACTGTTTCCTGATTGGTCTGTGAGCTACCTCCAGTCTGTGTCAGCAGACCTTGTAGGAGTCTCTGATTGGTCTGCAGTGAAAGTCCCAGGAGGAAGCGGAGGAACAAGTCCAGGTGTCCATTTGGACTCTGTAAGGCCTGGTCAACAGCTCTCTGATGGAGAGACTTTAGTTTAGGTTTATTAAATAATGAAGATTTTTGATGTTTGTGTTGCTTTCATCAGGTTGACCCCAGAGTTGATGAAGGTCAGATGAACATGAAGAGCAGCCAGAAACTCCTGAACACTGAGATGGACAAAGCAGAACACCTTGTCCTGGTACAGACCTCTCTCCTCTTTAAAGATCTGTGTGAACACTCCTGAGTACACTGAGGCTGCTCTGATCGATGCCACACTCTGTCAGGTCTGATTCATAGAAGATCAGGTTTCCTTTCTGCAGCTGATCAAAAGCCAGTTTTCCCAGAGACTCAATCATCTTCCTGCTCTCTGGACTCCAGTGTGGATCTGTTTCAGCTCCTCCATCATACTTGACCTTCTTCATTTTGGTCTGAACCACCAGAAAGTGGATGTACATGTCAGTCAGGGTTCTGGGCAGCTTTCCTCCCTCTCTGGTCTCCAACACATCCTCCAGAACTGTAGCAGTGATCCAGCAGAAGACTGGGATGTGGCACATGATGTGGAGGCTTTGTGATGTCTTCATGTGGGAGATGATCCTGCTGAACTGTTTCTTATCTCTGAATCTCTTCCTGAAGTACTCCTCCTTCTGAGGGTCATTGAACCCTCTGACCTCTGTCACCATGCCAACACACTGAGGAGGGATCTGATTGGCTGCTGCAGGTCGTGTGGTTATCCAGAGGAGAGCAGAGGGAAGCAGTTTCCCCCTGATGAGGTTTGTCAGCAGAACATCCACTGAGGTGGACTCCGTAGCATCAGTCAGGATCTCCTTGTTGTGGAAGTCCCAGTGGAAGTCGACTCTCATCCAAGCCATCAAAGATTAACAGAACCTGGAAGTGTTCAAAGCTGCAGATTCTTTTGGTTTCAGTAAAGAAGTGATGAACAAGTTCCACCAAGCTGAACTTTTTCTCTTTCAGCACATTCAGCTCTCTGAAGGTGAATGGAAATATGAACTGGATGTTCTGGTGGGCTTTGTCTTCAGCCCAGTCCAGAGTGAACTTCTGTGTTAGGACTGTTTTCCCAATGCCAGCCACTCCCTTTGTCATCACTGTTCTGATTGGTTGATCTCTTCCAGGTGGGACTTTAAAGATGTCTTCTTGTCTGATTGTTGTTTCTGGTCTGTGTGGTTTCCTGGATGCTGTTTCAATCTGTCTGACCTCATGTTCATCATTGACCTCTCCAGTCCCTCCCTCTGTGATGTAGAGCTCTGTGTAGATCTGGTTCAGAAGGGTTGGACTTCCTGCTTTAGCAATCCCCTCAAACACAGACTGGAACTTCTTCTTCAGAACAGATTTAAGTTGATGTTGACAAATTGCAGCAAAATGTCCTAAATTAACAAAATAATTAAATTCAGATATGAAAGAAAATCATCTTTTGAATTTGATTACATCACTTCAGCAAATGTGTAATTTATCTATCAATTCAAATCTCTTTAGAAATCCTCTTACTGCTCTGCAGATGGTCAGCCAGCTTTTCCTGCTTCATCCTCCTCAGGAAGTTCAGTGTGATCTTCATCACTGCCTCTCTGCTGCTCCTCCTCTGCTCTTCATCATCACCTTCTAACACCTCATCTCTCAGGCTCTCTGAGCATTCTGGGTAATCTGGACTCAGAACTTTCTGGATCTTCTTCAGTTCTTTCTTCACAAAAGTGACAATGTTGTCCTCCAGCAGCTGGAACAGAATAATAGATGAAGGAAACATCAGAGTGAAATCATGGAGCCAAACACCAGATGGATGTTGGACAGACTGACAGTCCTCTTGTCTACAAAGTGCAGCATGAAGTTGATTTTGAACAGAACTCATGAAAAAGTATTTGTTGTTCATGTACAGACCATAAATATGGAGTCCAGCTGTGTTTGATGCTGCTGGCAGATGGACCCTTGGGAACCTCTGAGCTCTGCTGGTCCACTCTGTGGAGGAACCAGGAACAATTAGGAAGTCATGAAATATTCATCCAGCAGTTTTCACATAGGAAATCTCCAGGAGTTTCACATTAAAAGTCCTTAATATAGAAAAACAGAGCATCACATGAACATAATTCAAAGTTAGAAAGAGGAAAATGATCTACATTGATGAATACCAGTGTACAAAAGACTGTTAATTATTTATTTCCAGCCCTCTAATTTAGTTTTCTTTTTAATCAAGGTGTTTTAGATGTAGTATTTTTTTTTCACCCACTTGGTGGTTTCTTGTTCATTTTTGCTACAGCTTGCTTAAAGATCTGAACATTGAGTGTTCAGATATGTTGGCTTTTGCAGCAAACTTTGTTTATTACGTCTTTCTAATGTGTCCGTCCATTGAATCAAAGTAATACTGTTGGTGGTTTAGTTCAGTTTCATACATTTCTAAGAGCTGTATTTGCACTTTGTCCTGTTGAATATTATGGTTGTTTATTGTGGTTTACTCGTTTTAATGTGAGTTAAAAGTTGTTTGTTTAACATTAAGCTATTAGGCTCGATTAATTAGATGCAGCTGTTATTCCTGTTAGCATTTCCAATTGAAATGCCTTATTTCTCTTGTGTGTTTTATTGTGTGATGCTATAATTTGCAGGGTTGATTATTATTGATGTGTAATTATTGCTTACATTCTCAGAGTCACATATTAATCAGTTGCTAGTCTTTAGTAATCTTTAAACATGTTTATTAATTTTGTAGACATTTGGTTTATTTGTGAAAGTATTTACAGGTAAGTTCTCATAATTTGCATTTGTTAATCTTTATAGAAAAACACAAACACACCACACATTCCTTTAAATGTATGGAGGAACCTCAAGAGCTAATTAAACTCAAGTAAAGCTCAATTCTGGACTCGGAAATTCATTTCACTAACTCACCTAAACTTATATATCAGCTGTCCTAACCAGACACCCTTGGAGTGATTGCAAACCCATAACCAAACCAGCTTCACCCTTCAGTCTTCATTACAACCAGTAACACCAGAATAATCCAGTAGCCATTTTAAAAAGTTGATTTTGAACTTGGACTTCAAACACTCCAAACTGTCAGCAGATCTGATGCTGGTGGAGACAGTTTCCCAGAGCTTGGGGACAGTGGAAGTGAAGGCTCTGTCCACACAGGTCTTCAGGACAGTGTGGGACATCCATCAGGTTCTGATGACTAGATCTGAGGTGATGTGGACATGGAGGAGGTCTGACATATGTGGGTTTGTCCATGTGGGATCCTCTCCTGGATTTTATAGAGGATTTTAAAATGGATCCTGTAGATCCTTGGAAGCCAGTGAGCTCACATTGTATCTGTCCACACAGAGACAATCAGAAGGTCCATGAAGTGATATTTGGATGTGAGCAGTGAACCAGGTGATCTAAGTAGTTGTAAAGATTTAATGTTCCTGCTGATCCCATTAAGAACCAGCAGAACCTCTGATGGTCCACATCTCAGTTTGGTTGAGTTCCAGCAGATCTCACCAACCACATCATGAAGCTTTCCTTCCCTGCTGAACTGCTCTCACAATGCACACAGGAACCAAGTCCTGATGGACCAGAATGGCTTTACCAGGTATTTCCCAGTGGAAATGTGATCCACTGTTAGTCTGACATGGAGCCAGGAAGCAACAGAACATCATCATCAACATCCAGAGATAAAGATATGAAGGTGTTTTCATGAGAACAGAGCAGCTGATTTCTGTAGATAATGGATCAAACCTCTGGAAATATAACTGGAAACATCTGAGTTCTTACTGGTTCAGTTTCTACAGTTACAGCAATTAGATACAGCTCACCTCTCTGATGATGGAGATCCAGGAGATTTAAAGTGAATGAACTCATTCTTTGACCTGTCACTCTTAAAGGAGACACAGCTGGGTTCTGGTTCTGGTTCTGGTTTGAATCTCTGATGAATCCTGAAAGAAAAACTCTCCTTAGAAACTTTCTGTTTTTTGCTTTCAAGATAATTTTTATGTGACTGTAAAATAAAAAGCTGTAAACCAAAACCAGAACCAGACAGATCGTCAGATGTTCTAAATGATTCCTATCAGAACCGGTCCAATCCTCCAACATGTTCCTGATCATTGATCCTCCTGAATAATGTCCAGCCTTCTTTAAAGAGCAGAAAGATTTGTTTCTGAGACCAACATGTTGGTTTGAAATGACTGAGAGAACAGTTTGGTGATCTTAGTGTTGAGCTCTGACATGGAGCAGAACCAGGAATCATTTCCACTCTGACCATCCAAGGAGGATCTGATGGAGCTTCAACCAGAACCAGTGGTCCGTTAGAGACAGTGAAGCCCACTGCTCAATCAGATCCACTAAATATTTAGTTTCACTGGGAAATGGTTGATAATCTGCCATGTTGGATGATGTTTGAACTTCAGAGGTGGAATCATAAAATAATTCATAAAAAATGTTTTATTTCAGAATGAATCTGTCTTTTGTTAGATTTTAGAGAAAGATGCAAATATCAGCCTAGAAATAAAATTCACTTCTTTCTATTTGTTCTTGTGTTAATATTAATATCAGACTAAATAAATGAGTGTTTCATCATGAAAAATTAGGCTTAAACAAACCAGAATAAAACCCAGTTAAATGTTTCTGGTCCAAATGTCATGTCAACATAATAGTTTATAAGAGTGAGTCCTGACTGAGGATTTATAAGATTCTTTCTGTATGGAGTCAATAACTGTCCAATGAATGATGGTTAAATTGATGTCAGGTAAACATCAGATCAGATTTAGAGATTCTGTTAACTAGTGAAGCTCTGGGTAGAGACTGTGGATCCAAACGGACCTGTTTGATTTTTATACAAAGGATCCAGTTGAACTTATTGTGTTCATAGTAACATGTTCATTATTGGAACATGTTTTCATGGAGACATCATACGTGTTACATCTTTGACGTATGAAAAGAAAAATAACCTGAAATTCAGTCCAATGTATTTATGACAACAGAACCCAACAGAACTTATCATCACATGGCCACAATAACAGATATAAACAGAAGTTACAGCAGTTAGAAACAGCTCACCTCTCTGATGATGGAGATCCAGGAGATTTAAAGTCAGGAGGACCTTCCTTTGACCAGTCACTCTTAAAGGACACACAGCTGGGTTCTGGTTCTGGTTCTGGTTCTGATTTGAGTCTCTGATGGATCCTGACAGAAACATGATGATTAAAACTTAATCAGCAAAGAGGAGCAGCAGCAGCTTCATCACCACGTCTGTTCTGGCCTGATATAGTGAACGCTGTGTGAAAAGGGCTGTGGACAGTTAGAGATGGTGACCTCACCTCTGACCTTTGCTCTGGCTCTCATCTTCCCCACACAGAGTGGTTTTAGAGGGAGGGACTCCCTCCTCTCTGTCCTCACACTGATCCATGCTGCTGAATCCACATCAGCTCACACACACTTTCTAGCTTCACCTGCAGAGGAAACACACATCATTCATCTGCACATCAACTCTGATCATCCTTTACATCATTAGTGCTGGAAAAAGATCAGCTGCTCCTCCTCTGATTGGCTCTTCTTCTCTGCTTCATATCAGTGTCAGGTGAATGCAGTCAGACAGCAGAGAGGCAGAGGAAGCAGATTGTTGGTAACAAAATGGTAACAAAACATTCTAACTATGACGATTGTTCTTTGTACTTTTACATAATAAACTTGTCAGATCCTTAAAATCTAAAATGTTAAACAATTTACAATCTTTTATTTTATCTATGCTGAAACAAAACAAATTTAACAGCATTGACATTCTCAATAAACACATTAAATTTCTATATCTATGGTCTATGTTAAAATGTTAGTAATTATGGGGATCCTGAAGGCCTGACGGGCCATAAGTAGCTGCTTAGTTCATTAATGCAATGGGCGGCTCAATGTGATCACTATGACATCATGTTTTCAGATCCACTGACTGCTGACTTAGTTTGGATGTAAAGGTAATGCAGATAATTCATGTTCATTTTAATTGTATTCTTTATTTGTTATTTTTTAGACTCTATAGTTGTGGGTTCAAGTCTTGTCAGGAATGTCATATGAGTGTCTGGTGAATGCAGTGGGAGGAAAAGGAAGCTGCCATCAGCTGCTTTACGTCATTCCGTCCACTAGATGGAGACATGGAGCAACATTTTCATACACTGACTGAATATTAGGAGCTATTTTAGTTCACAAATATTCATTTCTACAAGTAGATTATCTTCTCCATCAAAGATTAACTATTTAATGTGATTAAATGAAACATTTATATCAATATTTTATTTTGAAAGTAAACAACAGGAAACTAGAGTTTAATTCCAGGAAACTAAATCAAAGATCAGTATTTTTGGAGAAGAAAACAGAAAACAAATAATAAGCTGTTCATCCTGTTGTTCCAGTTTCCAGTTCATCAGTAATTTAACAGTCCTGTAGATCAGCCTTCAAACAGCAGAGATTAAACTTTGAGCTGAAATCAGAAGTTAACCTGTTGACCAACAACCAGCAGGAATGTTCATGTAGAAAAAGGTCAAGTAGGAAACAAAGAAAACTTACAGTTTGTTCAAATTATCCAAACAGTTGAAGAAAAATATCTGAACAACAAACTGAGACTCAACAACTGGACCGGGGTCGCCCACTTTCAGTAACATGAGATGCTGCATAACTGATGACCTCACAGCTCACATGGTTTGTAGTTTCTTATTTCAGAGCAGCAGAAGCAGAAAGTGAAATGTCTGTAGTGAAATCAGGCAGGTTGATAAAGTCTTCATGAGGAAGGAGAGAAGTTTTTAATGGAGTTCAATTAAATCTAGTTTTTAGTTTCCAGTCAAAATCTTTCCAGTTTTGGTTTCCAATCCCTTTATGGCACAAAAATGCACAGAAAAAACTCCACTCTGTGTTTTATCAATCTCCAGTTCAATCCAGTAAATTGATGCTGTCAGTTTTCCAAACAATCCACAAATGGAGACCCACTGGTGTCTCCATCCTGTGTGTGTGTGTATGTGTGTAGGTGTGTGTGTGTGTGTATGTGTTTGTGTGTGTGTGTGTGTGTGTGTGTGTGTGTGTGTGTGTGTGTGTGTGTGTGTGTGTGTGTGTGTGTGTGTGTGTGTGTGTGTGTGTGCGCACATCTATTCTGCACATACAGTAGCAATATGTGGTACTGTTCACAGCAACAAATGAAGTTCAGCCTGTAGCAGAAACAATCAGCTGATTGGACCCACAGTACTGGTTCTGGTACGACCCAATATGAGAAGTCTTCCACTTTAGCTATAGCACATTTGGTCAGCTGGTTTTATGCAAAGCCTGTGTGGTGGAAATTATCTTTAACAAAAAGTGATCAGAGAAAGATTAACCTTTTTGCGTGATTTCCTAGTTGAACTTTTTCTTCAGGAACTTTTCTGCTTGTTTCTTCTGTCTGATGTTTGGAGAAAATATTCCCCATGATTTGAACTCAAAGTTTAATCTCTCTTCCTTTTAATCTACAGGATTATCAGATTATTGATGAACTGGAATCAATCAACATGATGAACAGCTGATGTTTCTTTGTTTTCTTCTCTGAACAAACTGATTCATATTTTTGTTTCCTGGTATCAAATTCTTGTTTCCACCATTAAAGTCAGAATCAACTATTTCCTGTTGCTCCCTTTCAAAAAAAAAAAAATATTAAAATGGGTTTGATTCAATCAGATGATTAAATACTTTATCTTTAATGGAGCAAATAATCCACTTGAAGAAATTAATAATAGTGAACTATCAGACTTGTTCAGGTTGAATCAGTGAATGTAAATGTTGCTCCATGTCTCCATCTAGTGGACTGATAGTAGAAGTGCAGCAGCTGATGTCAGCTTCCTCTGCAAATCTTTTTTTGCTGCTGTTGCCAATTTCATCTAACAGAGCTTGGAAATTAATTTCTTCCACAACAATTTGGTGCCAACCTGGACACTCGGCTCCAGCCTCAAACCTGGATTAGGATTAAAGAGAGACGAGGGCTGCTGGTCGGCTCCACGGCTCCAATGCTGAGAACAACAAATTCATTCCACTGATACCTGGTGAGACTCTCAGTCAGGTAATAAATTAACTTAAAACTTTAAATTATAGAATCTAATATAGTAAAGGATCTAATAAACCTTTCTCCCTGAGGATTGAGATTGACCAGATTAATAGAGATTACAAAGATAAAGAAAAATAAATTAAAAAGAGGAAAAGAATAAGAAGGAAGAAAAGTAAGAGAAGAAGAGAAGACAGATCTTTCTAAAAGTGTGAGATTATTTTCTTGAAGAAATTGAGAACTTTTAGAGATTTTATTGTTTTTCTTGGAAAGCTGAAGAAAAAAACAGGTTCCAGGATGAGTCCTAGTTAAAGTCCTTATCGGAGAATAAAGCAGGTATTTACTAGAGTTTTGGTTTGTAAATTCAGGGAACCAAACTTTAGAGAATCCTAAAGACCTTTATCAGAAATAAAGAGCCTCTTAGAGGATGAAGAGGCAGAGCGACCACAAAGCTGATTGGTTGGATTCTGTGAAGACGTTTGCAGTCTAAAGAGGAAATCCCACCTTTTCAGAAGAATTTGTCTGAGTGATTCCCTGGTCTTTTCTCCTCCTCAGGGTGAATTGTTTCACTATATAACCATGAAATATTGAGGAAAACGTCTGCATGGTGTGAATGAATGGATGAAAAATATCTTTTTTCCTGCTGGTGGTTTATTGAAGCTGATTGTTTTGAAATGAAGAGAAAGAGAATCAGAAGCAGAGGAAGTGAACTGAGGCAAAGAAACCAGAAACAAAGAGTCTAGTTGATCTGGAGAAACACAAGGAAAGTTTGGAAGGTTGGATGAAAGAGAGAAAATGAAGAGAAAGACAGAAAAATGCTAAACAAATGGAAATGCTTCTATTTCTGAACATGAATCTTTAGTCTATAAATTATAGGCCTCCATCTAGAAAAACAACAAAATGAACCCAAATCAATTTCTATTGCTTCTTCTTCTTCCCTCTGTCTGAGCCTCATTGAGGTGCATCTGACCTCTGACCTCAACTCCTCCACCCTGTCCTCCAATGCACCAGATGATGTCCCTCTCACACCATCAACTGATGAACGTGATCCAGTAGATCCAGTGGATCAAGAAGATCAGGAAAATGAAGAAAACCTTCATCACCTCCAGGCACTGAAGTGTCTGTTGATCCTAATTTTAATGTTTGACACCAGAGAACTGATGAAACATTTCCATCCAGGGGACAACTGTCAGGTCTCCTGTTGGACATTTGGACTGAAACTGTGTGACTGAACTTTAACAACCTCTGCTGGTCTGCTGTCCAGCATCAGCATAGAGAAAGAAAAGATAAACAGGATTCAAAGCTGAGAGAGGAGAAGACACCACCCTGAACTGGTGATGCTTGTTTCATCTGTTGACAACATGGATATCAACTGAGGAACGATCTGGACAACCCAAAGATCCAAGACCAGAACCAGTTGGACTGACAGGGAGTCGGAGGAGAGACGGGGAGGATTTCACTGCACCAATGCCGATAGCAGGAGGGAGAGAGAAGAGAAAGGAGATATTTAAGATGAGATACACACACACACACACACGCACACACACACACACACACACACACACACACATCCCCTCCATGGCTGCCACCTTATCGTGGTGGGGGGGTTGCGTGTCCCAGTGATCCTAGGAGTTCTGCTGCCCAGTGCAGACGGGTTCTAGATGAGGGACCAGACCAAGTGCAGCCCAAAGATCCCTTATGATGATACGACCGTTGGAAACAGGGGTTGTTCTCTTCGTACATGAGGTCCCACCCTGGAGCCACACTGGCCTGGGGCTGGGGCACGCTGGGGAGCCCCTGGTGACCGGTGGTGGTATGACAATAAAAACCCTTGAATCCCTGAACTATATCAACAATATGTGCACCAAGCAATACGTACACTTAGCATTCCACAGATAAATGCTTTTAATCTGGTTAAGAATAATAATTGTACTGTCAATAAATGACGTCTAATCGATGTTCTTAGTGACCAGAGATCAATAAGGCCTTAATCAGCCCAGAGGTTCAAACTGATGAAACATGAGGATGGAGGCTCTCTATTAAAACATTCCTCACCATCTTCCATGTTCTTTCAGCAAACAGTTGAGACAGAGCTGGTTTTGGTTCCACCACTATTGACCTGCTGCTTTAGCCGCCATTGAAAGTTTTCTAAAAGTCAGTCAGTCTGCAGATCATGTGACCAAACCAGAAAACACACTGAAAACATAGAGAACAGCAAGAAAAAGTGAAAGTTATCAAACATTTTCATACTAGAGGAAAGTATGATGTACTCCAAAATATACTTAAGTAAAGTAGTAAAGTATTTTTACTTTGTTACTATACAACACTGAATCAAATAAATACACCACAAGATTCAATGTATTTCATTGAGATGTTAAGGAACAGACCACCACAAGGTCCAGAACCTTTGTGAAGTCAATAAAAGCGATTGATGGTTTTAAATACTTTACAAAAGAAAGTAAGATGCTTTTGTGCGAGTCAACGTGTCTCCTGCATCAGGTAAAGCTGCAAGTCTTTCAGGTTTTGTTTTTATCACCTTTGCACATCTGATAGGCAACATTGTTGCCATTCTTCTTGACAAAATAAAAAAAAAACTCATCCAGTGTGAATGGAGACTGTCTGTGAGTATCGATTTACAAGTCTTTTAAGAGATGTTAAATTGAGGTTTGGATTTTGTCTGCCTCATTCTAAATCAGGACATGGTTTAAGTAAATGAGTAGTTTTGACTGCGTGTCTAGGGATGTTGTCTGAGGTTTGTTCTCTAACAAACATCTGAGTACATCAGTCGACTGCTTTCTGACATCTAAAAATCATTTTATTTTGAGGAATCAAACTACAGCATATTTAAATTGATCTTTTTCTTAAGAAAACTTGAAAAACCATAGAACTATCTTCTTCCACTGTGAAATTATACATTGTCTTGTGTTGTAGATAATGTAACATCCATTTGCTGCTGTAATGAGACAAATTATTAAAAACAGTTCAAGGATAAGTAATCTTTTGTAAGGCACACTACTTCAGTATGGTTTAAAACATGGTGGCACAAGGCTGTCAGGTTCACCATCGCCCTCCACCTGGACAATTTAGCTGAACAAAACCAAGGTCCAATAGGACAGGCAGTCAAAGTGAATGATTCCCCACATTGATCTGTTCTTTTTTTCTGCTTTCTCGTGGGTCTCAAAACACAAAAGACTTGACATGTGTGATGTTCTCTTTGATAACTGCCTTTTCGGAAGGCAATTGTGAGCTGATAGAACCAATGAACAAATTGATTTACTTGGTGCTTGTGAAAGGTAGTTTCTTGTTTCAAAGGCTCCTGAAGTTGTCCACAGATCTCAGTCCTTGCACCTTTTTCAAACGTAGCAGCAGGTGTTTTTATTTCTGGCCATGTCTTTTTGTCTTTCAAATATCCCTCTTTGACAAAATCCTTCAAAGCCACTGAAGCAGAAATAAAAGCCCTTTGTGGGATGGCTCACTCTGCCAAAGTTTTATAGAGTGGACTTTAGCTCTGGCATATTCTTGTTTATATCCACATGTATTCCACACTCAGCACAAGACTAAGAAATCATGCAAGAATAACATGCAAGAAAGAGCATG